GCAGACACAAAACCCCCTGTGTATAAAGTTTTTACCTTCCAGAAATCAATCCGCCAAAAATCGATTTTCCTTGTGCGGGTATTTGCTTCCTGAGAAATGTGATGTCTGTGTTGACCTTTCTGTTCTGGCCCTTATAAGATACAAATGGCTCCGGGGACAGCGCGAGACAAGTGCGAAAGAGCATATGTATTCATCTAAGCCTTCTCAGAGCCAATTATTTCTCAGCTGGACTTAAAGCTTTGTCGATTTGTTCGGTTCTTGCAAAGGAGTCGGGCCAGTTCAGACGGTGAACGTCGGTGGAATGACCAATGATCTGCACAGACAAAGGTTGAGTGACAGATGAAAGAAAACTCATGGAGAAGGATGACAAAAAAAAGTCACACGGTGCAAAAGAATGAAGGCTGTTGGGATATGATGTTGAAAAAGGGGGAGGGGCTAAAAGGAGTTGGACCATATTTGTTTCTATGACAACCCAATGCCGCATTGTGCCTGGCTCTGAAAATGGTGTGGGTCAAAAAAGTGGCATTCTTTGAATACCACCAGGACAGGTTATGATTGGTCCGGCTTGTCTGCGGCGGGTTGGGGGAGGGGCAGATTGACACGAGGATCTGGTTTGCTTATTGAGCATTGAAAGACGGACAGGGAGTGGGCGGGGATGGCTGGCAGTGATGGATGAAAAGATAGATGGATGAAACAACAAGAGTTGAGCAGTAATGTTAAACGGCCTTCCTCAAGTAGGCTGGTTTGACTTTCTCAGGTAACTTTAATCGACACATGTTGAAAGTTACACCTCCCTCCCTCGTGTACAGTTTTCTTTCATAAGTCAGTGTACACCTCACACTTTTGGCTCTACAACCACCACACACACACACACACACACACACACACACACACAACATCAGTCAGTGTGTCTCTTTTTGAACTCCTAAACACCATCTCTGCCTGTGAACAATAGAGATAGAGGGGAAAAAAAAAAAAAAAAAAGCTCCACCCTGCCTGTCTCACCCCTCACTCGGTCCCCAGCCTTCATCCCCTCGCTTGTCCACTCTAAGCCCCCTGTATTAAGCAGGGTCTGGTGCTGATGAATGGACCACAGCTCAGCCTCTGCTCCACCCAATAATCCGGGGGGCTTGGACGAGCCGATTATAGGTGGTCCCCGCATTCCCGTTTCGCTCATCTATGACCTCCTCTGCCTGTCACCTTTTGGGTCACATTAATTGCGTGTGTAAAACCCGGTAGGAAAATAATCATGTTTTGCGTGGTCAGGGGGGCTTCAGGGTTAAGTAGGAAAGATGTGCTGCTCATAAATGTGTTCCTCCGGTGCCTTTTAAGGACCTTAAAACACATCTGAATCGATCTTTAAAGAGGCCAACTCCGGGCAGGGCACTTAAAGATGTCTGACTTTTAAAGTATAAAACTCTCCAGCGCTGACTTGGCGAATTAATGTCCGACCTTTGATCCACATTGCGCCCCCCCCCCCCCCTTTAGCCTCAGAAGTCCAGCATTCCAAAGGGCGATAGAGAGCAGAGATGAGAGGCTGATGGATGGATGAAAGGCGGGGGGGGGGAGAGGTGGAGAAGAAAGCAAAATGCTGGCTGGAGAGATTAAAGAAGAGAGATTAGACTCCCTGGTCCTGAAGAGGCTCCAATAAATGGAATTCCTTCTCAGGATAGGAGGTGGTAGAGTGTGTAGTCTATATTTCAGCAGATTGTGTGCTTGCATACACACATTTTGTTTCCCCCACGTGATGTTTTTTTCACTGCTATCATCTGTATGGCATTTTTTTTGTATCCACCTTATCATGACTGAGAGACACTCCCACATTCCTCCCGAGGTCTACAGGCGCATAAACACACATAAACAATCCCAGAGACACACACACATGCACACGAGTCCCTTACTGCATATCTGCCACAAATCATCCTTAAGTAGTGAATACAAACCACTCCCCCAATGCTGTATCTTCTGCAGGCTCTCAGAGCGTCGCTGTCATCGAAAGAGAGAATACCGGGATAAACAATGGGAATAAATGACGACAGAGAGAGAGAGGGGAAACAGTTTGGAAGAGGAAAAATAACAAGAGGACACACACTGTGGGAGACAGAAAGAGAGAGAGAGGGTTTATTCTGCTAAAGTGAAGGTGGCAGGATTTGACTTTGTTAGCGAAACCTTTTCACAGGTTTGCTTTGAAGTGCGTTACAATCAGTCAATTAAGCAGACGATGTGGGAACGTTTCAATGGCCGAGGCGTTAGAGGGGAACAAAAGGCAGCGGGATAATTAAAACTATTTGACATTAATAAAAAGGGGGCTAGTCGGGCCTCCCTGGGTGCATATTCAGTCTAAGTGAGATATTTTATCACAGTTTGAATGGAGACACTGTATGGAACTGTGGCACTGATAAAGCGACTGTAGCACTCGCATACTCAAACTTCAAAACTTCAAAAGCCATTTTCAACTCAAGCACCTTTAACCCCCCCTGCCCAAAGCCTATTCATGCCCTAAAACTCCCCTAAACTATCCACCCTAAAAGGGGCTGGGAAGTGGGGACCGGGAGGGCATAATTACCCCCCTCCAGGGCGACTTTAATACCCCTTTTTTGTGTTTTAATTGCACCCCCCTTCGACCCTCTTTTGATGAACACATTGGGAACATACCACGACCGGTTGTGGGGGGTGTAGAGAGTTTTGTTTGTGTGTGTTTGCTCTGTTTGCAGGAGGGGGGGGTGATAACTCTGTCAGGGTGAAAAAGCAGACAACAGTGTTTGTTCAATAGTGCTATCGATTCGCCTGGAATTGAAAGTGGCAGGGGGAAAAAACACTTTAGCGGCCAATCTGGTAAACAGAGCGTGGCAGGCAAACTGCAGATAAGCACTAAGCTGTCTGGACCGTGGCAAAATGGTAATTATTGCTCCCCCCTCCACTAAAAAGTTAGTGGGAGCACACAATTATCAGCACAGTTAGCTGGAAGTTTCATCAGTACCCTAAAATGGTGACTTGTTTTTTTGTAGCAGCCCCCATGTTGCTGTTGTAATGTTGACTAATCTGCTCATCAGTATTGAGGGAATGCAGTCAGGCAGAAAGGGGGAAACGGGAAAGGGGGGGGGGACTAAAAGGGGGGAGGCAAGAGTCAGGGCTCTGTGTTTGGAGCCAAAGCGTCTGTCCTTTTTTTTTTTAACAGGGGGGAACCAGGGAGACCCCTGCCCACAAACAACAACAGCACCTAACGAGTGACAGGGGCCCGCGGTCTTTGATCACTGGTAACACATATGGACCCTGTCACACTAACACAAACACCCCAAATGCTGCTTGTAACTTTTAAGGGGTGGGTTATGAGAAAACGACAGAGTTCTCGAAGAAAAAATCTGCTTTAAAAAAAGGGGTTCAGAGGGGAGTTTCTTTCCCCCGCCAAAGGTGTCTGGTTAGCACCCTGCAGGCTCTCGAGACCTCATAACTCTTAGATCTGTAGATCTGATTAAACAGCAGCCGGTAATTCAAGTCACACTGGTTGCCTGCCTCTTTGTGGCCATGATGTACCATCCGTGTGTATTCATTGCAAAAGCAACAAAACCCTATATTGGACACACATTCTCCATGCGTATTGTGAAAACATTTAAGTCTGTCAAATTTCATCCATTCTCGTGTGTGTGTGTGTGTGTGTGTGTGTGTGTGTGTGTGTGTGTGTGTGTGTGTGTGTGTGTGTGTGTGTGTGTGTGTGTGTGTGTGTGTGTGTGTGTGTGTGTGTGTGTGTGTGTGTGTGTGTGTGTGTGTGTGTGTGTGTGTGTGTGTGTGTGTGTGTGTGTGTGTGTGTGTGTGTGTGTGTGAACAGAAGGTAGCTACTGCTCTAAGTTGTTGAAAGATGGGAATTACTGGGAAATGTGTGTGTGTGTTCCTATCGGCTGGCTAGCGCTCCAGGCCGGTGATAGATGGCTGTGGCAGAGAAGAGAGCATTAGCTGTGGCCACCCCTGGAGCAGCAACTCAGTCAGGGGGAAGGGGGGACAAAGCTGAAATACCTTTTAGACAGTTCACTGCAGATAAACTCATAATATCTGAGGTAAGAAGTCCTGGAGGTGGAAAGGAATCATGGACAGTCCAGTTAGGACCAGCTGCATCAGAATGAACTAAAGAGCTAAAATGCTTACTTTTTTTTTTTTTTTTAAATGCTCTTTGACCCGGGTTCAAGAGAAGCTGGAGGAAGTTTAGTTTACTTAAAGACCATCGTAAAAAAGGGTGGAGAGGGCGGAGGAGTGAAGGGAGGGATGGAGGGTATGGGCAGACAGCCTGACTGTCTCTCTGTGTTTGTAATGAGAGGGAGTGTGGTGGGAGACGCTTACAGACCATCACCAGACTCATGTTGGACGTGTCTGCCTTGTCTCTCACACCCTAATGAAAGGGTTAAAACATATGTGACCCTTATTTTTACACATCATGTCCTCATCCTAAAGTGTTTTCCAGCTCACGTCGAGGTTTATTTTGTCGTCGTGCTCTTCTATATCTGTGCGAGTGCGTGTGCGTGTGTGTGTGTGTGTGTAGCCCTCGCAGATGTCAGTACTCATCTCCCATCTTGCCGGCTAACTGACTGCTAATGTTTCTCTGTAAACATCATTCAGCTCAATTGGGACGCAGGATCAATGTGCACTCATGCTAACTTGCAACACTGCGGCAGCTAAACTCGCTCCCGGTTCATCCATATTTATGCACGTGTTCTCTGCAGATCATGCTTCCCTTATTGCGTTTTTTTTTCCTCTTCATTCCACCCCACCCCAACACACACAAATACTCACTCACACACTTTCTCCCCCTCCTGCTCGCTATCACTCATCCCCATTCCTTTCAGTTTTTCCTTTGATTTCCCCGTTGTACACCAGCATGAAGCCGATCAATACATAATCACAGGTTTTTGAGGCTTATATTTATTAGTGCTCCCATGCTATAAGCACGGTTATCAGTCTCCTGCCACTGGGATAACCCTCCTCCCTCTCCTCCCTCTCCTCCCCTGCAGGTTTCTATGGGACGATTACGCCGTGGAGGTAAAGCTCAACGACTACCTGGACATCGTCTGCCCCCATTACCCTCAGGGCGAGGTGCCGCAGCTGGACGCCGAGCGCTACGTGCTCTACATGGTGGAGCGAGAGGACTTTGAAACTTGCAAGCCCCAGTCGTACGACCAAATGCGCTGGGAGTGCGGCCATCCATTTGCTCCTCACGCGGCGGAGAAGTTCTCAGAAAAGTTTCAGCGGTTTACTCCGTTCACTCTGGGGAAGGAGTTCCGCCAAGGAGAAAGCTACTATTATATCTGTAAGTGTCTGATTTGTTTTTTTTCTCTGTATGTCAGTCATGTATCTTTTGGTAGTCTCACCACGTTAAAGGCTTTATATGTGATTTTTCACACTTAATTAAATGTAATAGAAATCAAGTATCTCCTCTGAAAATAACTCTGAGTCATGACTGTCTACAATGGGTGTAACACCCGAGTCCCACTGTCTGTGATGTTTTCAGAGTTTTCAGAGTCCTATCTTCAGTTTGTTTACATCGCCTGGACGGCCGGCTGACTCCTCCCCTCGTGTATAAAAGTTGTTTAATTGAGGGACTAGAGAAAAGAAGAATAACATACTGTACTCACTGCTTAACTGTGTTTCTAGATCACGCTCATTTCAGGTAAATTTACATGCAGTGTGAAGATATGAGCATAATAAAGATCACTAGCATTAGCATGCTAACACAACAATGCAGCGCAAGTCGTTTTGGTTTCATGCTGGTGCTCAAGGGTGAAATCTGCTGGATCAAAAAATCACATATTAAGCCTTTAAGGCCTCTTGTTTTGAACTCATTTCTTATATCAGCATGCTTGGGAACCACATTGGTTGATCAGCCATTTATTTACTCGTCCTTACTCATTAAATAGGGAGCTAAATAAACACTCTTAGACATTACTTGGCTCATTTAACTCGTCGTTCATGGTGTCACTGCTGTTTTAGTTAGCTCACTGCATTACGGTAAATAGAGTGAATACCCCTCAGCTTTATAGAGATTCTTAGGATGAATGTTGAGATACTTTGAGTTGACTATGTAGAATACATAATTGTCAAACATTTGGACAGTACTGCACTCACTTATGAGAGTTTGCATGAACAATGTCAACATGGTATAATTTTTTTCAACATCCTATTTAAAATGTTGGAATGCTAACATCTCCTAATTAAACTAAACACAAGTAGACAGTTTATTTTCCCCCAAGTGACCACTAAATTGGTTTCAGATACTCTGCAACGGGTCCCTATCAAATAAATGTGGATCCATTTAATGGCGGTGAAAAAATGTCCTTTGAAATCACGTGTGTCAGCACCTTAAACCTTTTCACTTTTAAGTCGGGACCAAGAATGGCTTAACATGTCCACATTTATTAAAAAAGACACAATTCTGCAGTCTTGCTGTCTTTCTCTAAAAACTGTAATATGCTGCAGCTTTGTGGGCGACTCTTTGAATCTTAACATGGACATTTAGTGGGGTGTCGGCTCATTATGGCGAGATTATGTAGTATTTACCCCGCTAAGATGTAGCTGCAAAGAGCAAGCAGAGTTGTCACACTGACCATGGCTGTAATTAGATAAACGGCAGGACAAGACACACTTTACCCTGCTCACAGATGGCGTCCTAAAGCTTTGTCCCCGCGTCAGACTGTTGCCAAGTTTGTGTGTGTGTGTGTGTGTGTGTGTGTGTGCATGAGCGCATGCATGGAGGTGAATTAAGGGGCCAGAGGGGGATAAGTGCATTAGTTGGGATGTTAACGCCTGTGTTGTTTCTTTCTTTTTTCCCTGTCAGCTAAACCTTTGCACCACCATGGTCAGGAGTGCCTCAGGCTCAGGGTGGATGTCGTAGCTGCTGATGGTGAGTTCAAACACCCTCCTGGTTGTAAGAAGAACAGAAAAATCTCCTCAGGTAGATAAAGAGTAATTGATGGATTTTTTTTTCTTGTCTTTCAGGCTCTCAGGAGGCCAGAGTGGCTAAAGGAGGCACAGGTGGGGCTGGAGCTGGAGCTGGGGGTGGGGTTCACAACCCGTCCAACAGACTGCCTGCAGGTATGTTGACCAACCCTGTGTCCTCTCTAATTATCCCTGACCTTTAAACAACCCAAGTACATTCAGGATTACATGGGGGGTGTAAATGTGGTACTAATGTGACCTCTTTCTCTCGTCTCTTCAAGCAGATGACCCGGTAGTGATCCTGCCGGACGTCCAGAAGAGCGTACGGACGAACTCTGCAGTGGCGGCTACGTCCCTCTCGATCCTTTCTCTACTGGTCCCTTTTTCATTACTACTGTTGTTGCACTGAGAGGACGAGAAAGGACTGCTGTTGGCAGACGTTCTTGCATTTTCAGGGACTACACAATGAAGACAGTCCGTGGGGATGAAACCACTGACTCAAAAAGACAGTTTTCGGTGCCCAGTGCTGGCCACAGGGAGAGACTTTTGAAGCTTGTAAAGTACAGCTGGACTCTCTTGCACTACACGTGCGAAGCAACTCCTGAGCATTTGAGACAAAGTGTGTGTGCTTTGTCATATTTTTCTAAAGTTGATGGTAGTTTTTTGCCTGGAAAGACCAATTTAACTTAGTGCTCTCTCCAAAAGACATGAACCTGTTTGGATGATAAGGTTTGAAAAAATATGAAGACGTCAAGGAAGAACCCAAAATGGCTGAAGAACAATCAAAAGGAACTCTATGACTTATATAGATATAGAGAGTAATTGGGAAAGTTTTCACGTACCCTTTGAGCCAAAGATCAGTCATCTCTCCAACTTGTACACTATTCCACCCTCGACTATTGTGTACTATTTGTTGTATTGTTCTTGTAATGGTAATGAGTGGCATTGACGTCCCAAGTGATTACTTTCTCTAAATGTAGCATTGACAGACACACGGGGCAGTTCTCATCACAATCATTCCTTTGCAAACTCGACCATGTGCTTCTATACTGTAGCACTAAACCTGCACAGTACAGACACACCATCACACACACTGACGTCAGATGACATAAAAAAAAAACACACCACATTGAACTGTGTTATGTGTACATTCTGTGAAGGTAATTTATGACATTTGCAGCTGAGAAGTTTTACTGTATATTCCATAAAAGAGATGTTTACTGTTGGTAACAGGGAGAGCTTTTTGTTCCTCTCTCTCCTGGTAGAGTTAGTACTTATGTGAAAGGAGAGAATGGGTGAAAGCAAGAACGTGATTGATTGAAAGAGTGATGAGACAAAATGTTTTTTCTGCCAAAAAGCAAACACTGAGATGTTGTGTGTTCCTGCAAGGAGGCTGGCCTCCTCTGTTTGTTGGATCGTGCCCCTGTACTGGTTAGACTGTCTGATATCAAATCTTTACTTCCACAGGACCCTGCCCTGTGTTTCATGGTGCTCTCCCTTTGTGTTTTCACTCTCAATTTGAGAATATTCTCTTCAAAACATCACCTTTAGTAATCAGCTACGTAGACTTTCACAATAATTTTCCCTCTTTTTGAACAAAGTGTTTGAGCAGTTTCTCACACAGACAGGACACAGCATCAAACCCAGTTGCCAAGCACATCTTCACCCGACAGGCTGGCTCGATCGACAGACCACAACAGTGTATGACTACCGTTGAAGTCAGACTTTTTTTTATCTGAATTCTTGTTACCTAATTTTGTACATGTGTAAGTAAGAGAAGTGTATAATATGTATATGTATATATATACATAAGATTATATAATAGACCTTGTTTGATAAATATGCTTAATGTGAAAATTTCATGTGAAATAAAAAATGATATTTTTTGGAAAACCAGAACAGTTTTCTTGTGATTATTGTTTTAGCAATGCTAGCTAGGCTAATGATTGTGTAGCTAGCATGGCTGGTGCCTGAATGTTTGTGGTTCAGGGGCATATATCTTTAAGGGGCTGTCAAAAAAGTGAATAAAGACATTCATAGTTTCCATTGGATTAATCCTAATGACTTTTGTTATCTCTCAACTTTAATGGGGCATGCTAAAATATGATAAGTGCTAGGAATAAATAACTGTGGTATATTACTTTTTTTCCTCTTTAGATGAATTGTAATAACTTAAGAAATAAGTTTTCTTAACTTTTAATGTGCCATCATAACACTATAATGTTGACATACCTAATGTTTTAATTTAGGACCAAATACCTGTAAATCTAGGGAAACTACAATTAGCCATAGCTGTGCAATGTCTTTGGTGCTAAATTGCTAATGTTAGCATGCCAACATATTAGTTTGATGTTTTTTTTGTTCTTTTTTATTAGTCAATTTATTGAACATGTTAGGAAAATACAACAATTAATCAAGATGTTGAACATACATTTTATCTTATAAGGTTTCATTTTGTGACATTACCATTGTCATCATGTTGCTCGTTTTGGCATCTATAGCTAACAGCTAAAGTGCAGTCTCAGATAGCTGCTAGCATGGCTGTACTCTTGTTTACACATTAATTTAGTCGAAGGTTTAATTATCCTTCCTTAGAAAGAACCAACAATCAAGCTTGCTGTGGCATCTCAAATGAGAGTTGATCTTAGCTCTAAAAAGCTTTCAGTACACCCAGACCTTTTCTGATTTTGTTCACACAAGAGAGATCTCCAAAAGGAGCTAACAGATAATGACTTACACACACGCATGTGTCAGAAGTTAGAATAGAATCAACTTTAAGGTGGCTTAGAAAAGCTAGAAAAGATATACCGATAAGAAAAGAAGAGAGGGCCACTTCATGTTTTAGCACAGGTGTGATCACTCTTCTGTCTTTATCTTCTGCCAAGCCTCCACCTTTAGCTACAACCCCCATTCCAACACACACACACACACACACACACACAGCAGGTCCTCTTTTCTCCAACCAAAACACTTTGCTCGTCTGCAGGTTGCATGACAAGCAATTGTTCTCGTCTCTCCCTTTCCAGGGGAGCTTTATGGCCGTGACAGTTAAAACAGCTGTAGCGGCAAAAACTGGTGCCACTGCCTCACAACTCCCCAATGTTTTCAAAGGGTTGGCTGTAAATTAAGACTGGCGGACAAGGCCCCCTTAACCGCCCGACCCCTGGAAGAGGCTCCACTGAGTAGTGGGTCGTCAAGACTAAACAATTCTCTTTATTTGCTCACTCGTTCAGTGTTCTGGCTTTAAGTAAATTTATGAGTAAGTGTGAAACTTTAACACTGTAATAAATGTGAAGGGTGCTCAGGAGATAAGCAGAGCAAACATGAAGAACAGAAAACAAGAACTATCCTGAGGACAATGTTTAACAGGAACTTTTAGGTACAGTTATAGAACCAAAATTCATAGATCATGCACATTACAAGCTGCAGTATATTGTACTTGTTGAACATGTTTGGATATTTGAAATTTGAAATAAAAAAATGGACAAAGTTTTCAAATACCATGATGCCTCTAATGTTAAGCCTTTACATGAAAATGACATGGCCAAGCACCCAGTTTTCAAATGAAAGTACTTTCTTGAGCACCCCCAATTTGAGAGTCCTTAAGCTAAAATATGTTTTTAAGAGTCAGAGGAGTATTTAAAGAAGCTGAACATTTCTTCACCAGAGTATTGTACTTTATTACTTTGTCTATTTTTATTATTTTTACACCAAAACACAAAGACGACAAATGGTATACATGTAAACCTACTTGACAATAAACCTTATTATTCTGTCTATCAGCAGGTCTTTTTTTAATTGGTGCTGAATTATATTTAACTGTTTTTAATGGCAATCAAACCTTCTTAAAAACACTTTTTTACCCATGTTCCTGTGATGATGTTAGCATACCGATGTAAGCATTTAAGCCAGAAACTTCAAAAGGATTCACAGAGCTGCAAGCAAGGCAGAGATTGTCTACAGATCACCATTTTTGGAGGGAAAAATTGCAACACACAGCAGGCACAAATGGGGCTTCGATTCTCAAATGCTAAAATTAAGGTATTAACCAATTTATCTGTCTTAAGTGTGTATGCTATTTAAATTTCAGCGGATGCTGTTGGTTCCTGCAAGAAAAAAATCACCATTCAGTGTAGGTTTGGCATGGCCAGCTGGTCTATCTCTGAGTCAGGCCTCACTATCAGCAGGACTCATGACGGCCAGTCCCTGTCTGCCTGCAAGCGTATGTTACTATTCAGAAGAGCCAGGACTATCTGGCTTACAGGTCCTCTGGGAGGTTACCTAATGTTATTGTATCTATTTGTAGCATTTATAAGCTTCAGAGCTAAAAGAATATGGGGACTCTGGGTCCTGTTAATATCAAAGCAGATGTTCATAAGCAGTCAAAGAACAATAGACTGACCCATGACTGACATTTAAGCCTCATTCAATTTTTTTTATGCAGTGTTGGTGCACTAAATGTATGGATTACATGTTCTTTTAATGCATGTTTCCAAGCTCTTTTCTTTGAGTCCTGTTTTAGAGCCTGTAAAAGCTTTAGGTGACGGCAAGGTCAGACTTGGCCGATGGGAAGGAAACTCCTTGGTTATACTGAGTGAGTCGGAGCCTGTGGGCCAATCGGCACATTTTGGTCCCCTGCCATTGCAGGACGGTCGGGGTGTGGTCTCCTCTTTCCCGGCCGTCTCCACTGCCAGGGTCATCCGTCTTGTTCCAGCTCATGCTTTGGTTTCCTGTCTGTGCCACTTAGTCATTTTCCTTTTTTTTAATTCATTCTTACTGACACCCTTCTCTTGTTCTGCCCCTTTAAATCCATCTTTGTATCTCGTGTTGTGATTCATCCTCATGTCACCCTTTCATCCTGTCATTACTCTAGATCACTCTCTTTTCTGTTTCTGTATCAAATATGTTAAATCTCCATTGCCCTCAGCTCTCCGCCTCGACTGCCAACTCCAACTTTCACTCTTTCTCTGTCCGTCTCTGGATGGTTTTGAGGTTTTGCTGTGAAATGTGTGGGTGGGGGAAAAAAACTCTTTTCAGTGCAGTGAAATGATAACCTTTCATTTTTCAGTCTGACAAGATGTCAGCAGTGTCACTGAGTGTCTCAAGAAAGGCTTTTTATGGTCTCAGTGGGGCCACATTGAGGGCAAAACCCCACGTCTTACCCCTCTTATTGCATCTATCCTCATTACATCAACCTCTGTCAAAATTCTCTTATTGAAGACAGAAATTATGAAAAGTTGTGAATGCGTCTCACATTCAAAGTCAGGAAACAGAAAACTTGTACAAAAATGAAAGCAAGACCTTTTTGAAGTTACCGCTGGGAGATTATATAGCTGGCATCTAAACAAATGTACACAATAAGTAACTTTTTGATTGGAGAATGAATAAATAATAAATATTTCAGATAGCCTACTCTATACCCTATAGCCTACCCTATAATAAACCTGGCATAATACCTATTAAAACTTGATTGTGGCTTTACATTATTCCAGGTAACTTTAGGTCCGTTTTAGACCAAAGTGTCAAGCTACTTTTAAAGATAACGTTGTATAAAATGTAAGATTAATAATGAAATCAGAGAGTCTGTACAGGTTTGATTCCCACAGCTCGTAAAAGCCAGAAAAAGAAAATTACTCATTTACAAAGGTTGTGTTCAGACTAATAGTAGGGGACACAGGATTACTGTGCAATTTACAAGTAACTGTACTTTCTCAAGTGTCTCCTCCTTTGTGAACACTGCCACACACTCACCAAAATCCAGCTGTGGTGCTGCTGGTGGTCACTCCTGCTTCATATGAAGGGTTTTAAAAAGGAAAAAGCAGCTCAAGTCATTAAGGTCATTTGTGATGGGACCTTCTTTTTTTTTTACATTTCTGTCTGTGCATCAGATTAGACTTGCATGCAATCATGTAAATAAAGAACAGGGCTAAGTCTGGGAAGAAGCTTATGCACTACATGTTTGAATCGAGGGATTAAAAGGGAAAAGTCACAAAGATGCTTACACTGTTCATATACACAGACGGTAAATGGCCTATAAAATGTTTAGTGAAGCTGATATTTTTGTCTGATAGCCTGCAGTAAAAAAAAAAAAAAAAAAAAGACGGCACAGATGGGTGCCTTCAAAGTAAGTATTGGAAAGAACAAGGAAAAGAAAAAGTGATTAACTAGTTCACATGTGGCTACGAGTAAGAGCACAACTGCCTACCAAGCAAAGGCTTTGGTCTAATTGCCAAAGTAAGAGAGATTCTGGTAAATAGCAGGTTGCCTTTTATCCAGTCTGCTCTTGCAACAGCTTGCAGACATTCATGGAGGGAGGGAGGGAGGGAGAGGGAGGGGGAGGGGGGGGGGTGTTGCGAGGCAAGATGGGGCTGCAGCCAAACAGCACAACAGGCAGAGAGCTTACACACAGAGAAGTGTTGACTCTTTTACATTTGTTCTAAAGTTATGGGAGCTTTTGAAACCCTGTAATGATGCCTTCAGCCTGGCTATGCTTTGTTTATGCACAGCAGGGATTCACTGGAAAATGAGCACAGGCAGCCTTTTAAGAGTTACAGCGAGAGAAGAAAAAATTGCCAACATCAGATCACTTTAGAACTAGATCCTTAGCTTACGTTGTCTGATTGGAACAAACCTCTGTGGGCGAAAGGAAAGAAAATGCTTCACAGCACATTGCATGTCATTAACTGCAAAATGGGACGAAAAAGATTTGCCCCTTGCACAGAGGGCGGCATTGAGAAGTTGATAATAAGCCCTTGGGCAAGGAATATGTCATACATACAAGAATTCACTACAATACTTGCATAGTTTCAGGTCCTATGTGAGCCCCTGACCCACAGAAACACACACTCAGACGGAAAACCTGAAGAAAATATACTCCAATTTAATAAAGTCCTAGCGATAGCCACGGGGCACAAATTAAATTGGACAATGGAATGTACAATTCTTTACAGAGTAAATCTAGTCCATCTATTCTGACAAGCAACAATCTCCAGACACACACAACAAAGTCTGCACTGTGTAGTTTAAGCTGACACATATTGAAAGCATTTGAGTATTCCCAGCTGAAACAGTCTCGAGTCAGATTCCAGTTTGATCTTTTGGCAACCAGATAAAGATGGTAATCGAGCATGTAAGTGTTTTAAGGATCCATGTGTTTGGCTGTTATCATCTTTTACATTGTTTAATGTGTACACGAGTAAAACCACCTGCGACTGATGTTTAATGTCATTCAGTAACTATATAAAAAGAGGTCTTTAAATGGTGAGAATGCTATCAATAGCTATTACATTCTGAATGAAATCTGATGTGTTGTCATTGTCATTTATGTGTAACCAATACAATCCTCCCATGAGTCTATTACTTTCTGAATCCCTGAAGCATAGCTGATCAATATCTAATCTGAAAGAGCTGTTCATATCATGTCTGATCAGAGTGCAATCTCACCCAACACATTTTACAAAAAAAGAGAGACAATTTTGATAAACTCAAACATTGCAACTGCTGATGAAATTGTCTGAGTATCCCTTTTCAGTCTCTAAGAGTTCCTGTATCGTCTTTCTAAAGTTCTACATCTTAAATCCTTTTTTTCTCAAGTCCTCTTTGGCTTCCTTTATTTGCTCCTGCAGCTCTTTCGCTGCGTCGTCACAGTCATTGAAGGTGGCCACCCTGTATCCCACCGTGGCCAAGGAGTAGCAGCCAAATGAAACCAGCAGGTACAGAGGCATCGGCCAGGCAGCCTCCCTGTAAGTCTGCGGCAGGCTCAGGTCCAACAGGTCGAAAGAGACCAGAGCCCACACTGCGCCCACCAGCGACACACCAAACAGCCACTCCACAAGTTTAGTCATAATGAGAGATGATGAGGGGACTTCAGGTGAGCAGCCGGGACACAACCTGCAAGAGAAACCAACGGTTAAAACCATTTCATTACCTTAGCATTAGCACCTGAGAGTAGCATTTTGTTAACTTCCAAGCTACAACAAACAAAGAAAACAAACAGCAGATAGGACGCGACAACAACAGACACGAGTATTACAAAGGCTTCAATATAATAAAACGAAAAAATTACTGAATAGCGTTTTGTTTCAATAATCAGTCCAAGAAGATTGTCCAATTTGTTTACCTCTTCTCTAACGCCACCTCAGCTCAGCGCAGATGTATGACGTAGCAAGCCGTAAAGCCTTATGGGAAACGTAGTTGAATCTGTGTTCTAAGCGCTAGCATGGGGAATCTTTTATTTTTGGTTGAAAGAAAAAAATAAATGTAAAACAAATATTTTCAAGATAAGATTTAGATTGTTTTTATTTTTTATTTTTTTATTTTTTTATGTTATTTAAGTATTTACATACTTTCATTTTAAAATAATAAATCCAATAATGTTCCAGTAATGAATCCTAGCTGTTTATGTGTTCTTAATTAGTTTAGATTTTTTAGTTTAATTCATTTCATACTCAGATAAAAGTTAAGCCTATATACCATCCATTTATATGAGTCTGGCACATACTTACCTTTTAATAATAATAATAATAATAATAATCAATTTTATTTATAAGCACCTTTCAAGACACACAAGGACACTATACAACAATCAACATTTACAAAAAAACGATGGATAAAAACAGCATACAATAAAATAAATGAAATGTAGGACAGTGTAATTGCTTTTACAATACACATGTACCATATAATCATGTGATTACTTTATACCCGCAGCTGAAGATGAGAACGTCAGTCTATAAACCTCATACAGGTGAATAAAGGAGTTTATGTTTACGCATATCCTACATTGGCATACACTATGTAATTACGATTGTTCTATAGGTCAGTGAGACACAACAGGTGAAAGAGGGATAGCCAGAAGATAAATTACCACATTTCCACCAGTCTATAATTCTTCTCAATAAATCTCAATGCTGTCACTGTCTGTGATTTTCATTTAAACACTGCCCTGGACTGTGTCTGACATATTATCAACACCAGTACCCTGTCAGCTCTGAGAGAGAAAACAATTTGTTTCAGTGAGTCTTTAATGAGGCCTCCAGTCAGGCTTTTAGCACACATTAGACCTCTAACAGTTTCTCTATGTCATCCTCTTAATTTAGAAAAGCCATTTAGAAAAGTAGATAACCATTAGCAAGAGCTGAAAGCTATCTATAAATACTAATGTCGTTCCGAAGCGAGGAATTCAACAACAATTTCATTAGGGGCTGCTGGGAGCATATAGTGGTGTTTGATCTCAGTGTGTCTTTAGGTGCTAAGGAGAATGTCTGTTCATTCTTGGCGGTGAACTATCCAGGTGCAGAGGGCACAGACGTCTCCAGGGTGAAATCAGGAGGGGTGGGAGATATAAACATCATTCACTCAGATGGGGAGAGGGACACACCAAATAGCCACCGAGAAATAAACATCATTCTTTGGGGGAAAATGGAGGGTTATTCTTAGGACATCGGTGTTTATGTTTGTCTTCACCAGTGTTAATAGTTTAAGTGATGATTTCAATGCTCGGGGTGCAGACTGTTTCTTCTGTTTATAGAGACTGTTATACCAAAAACTGGAAGACAGTTAAATTCTTTGTGTTTATGTTTTTATGTTATCTTTTTCATTTAAAGAGTTTGTGAAACGTTTAATACATTCACCCGGTTTAATGTCTGTCCACATTTATAATAGGCCTGTTGGATTATCCTTAAAAGGACCTGCAGCACAAGGAGCTATACTAATGGCTACTTTCATTATTGATTAATATGCAATCCAGGCAATGCTTTATTAAGCTTTTAATAATTAAATCTGTACAATCTCAGAAAATAATGAAACTGTCCCCAGCAGAGGGAATATCTTTTCATTCACAGAAGCAATTAAAACCAAAGAGATTCAACGTTCAACAATGTAGAGAAAGAAGCCGTGAAGAAGTACAAAGAAAAGAAAACTGTGATTAATTCATTAGGATAGCATATATGTGGGCCTACATTTATTTAAAGAAATTACAAAATATTTCAGTTTAAGTTTGGACGCAGAAGTGACACAAGTGATGATGACCGATATCCTTTCTACCTGTGCAGGTGTTTGATTGTTTCTAAGCAAGTTAGGTTGAACCTGTTGGTCAACAATAACATACTTTACTAGTCCAGTAGTAGGCTAGGTTCAAATCTAACCAATGAATTACAATAAATCCGTGACCATCAGCTTATTAGGGTGGCTGTGACTCAGTTGGTAGAGTCGTTGCCTCGCAACCAGGTTCAATCTAGGGTTCGATCCCCAGCTGGGCAACATGTGCAATGTGTCCTTGGGCAAGACACTTAACCCTGAATTGCTTCCTCTGCTTCGTTGGTGGTGTATGAATGGGATTAGTTACTTCTGATGGATGATACTACATAGTGATCACTACCATCAGGGTGTGAATGTGTAGGTGTGACCTGCAGTGTAAAAGCACTTTGAGTAGTCGGAAGACTAGGAAAGCACTATAAGCTCAAGTCCATTTACCATTTATTGTTAACCCAGTTATTTTGAATAAGAAAGGGAGAGTGAACAACGTTGGTGGATTCTTATCACACACTCCTAATTAAATTAAACAAAGATGCTAACTGCTAGTGGACACAGGCTCGTTTCCACGTATGGTGAACAATATGGATGAAGAGAAGGACAGGACGGTGGGGAAGAGGACACTCTGAACGAACATTAATAACGTAAGTTTGCGTCATGAGCTAGTAGTTTGCTACTTCCGTCTTGTGCTGTTTTCTGAGAGCTAACGTTAGCTAAAGTGGAAGAAATCTGCTAGCTAGCTATTTGTGTCGCTGTTTCCATGGTAACGTCAGATGAACTCTTACAGACTACTGTGAGTTTCAGTCACAGCTCTTTTTTTTGCTGTAAACTCACAAATGCTTTTTGTGTTGACCAGCATATGGATTGTATTTGGGTAGAGTGCTTGCTGTATTGCCTACATTTTTAATGCATTTGATTTTCCCTTTCAGAGCATACATAATTAAATTGTACATTTAGTAGCTTGAGTTTCAATGTTATAGTCTACCTGGGATGAGTGTATCTCATTTGGCTTTAGAAGTCCAATTTGTAAAAATAGCAAAAAGTTAAAAAACAAACATATTGAATAAAGCAAGAAATTACAATAGAGATAAAATAATACTAGGCATATACTATAAACACTTTCACTTGTGGAAAGACAGAGGACAGTTCTTATTAAGAAAACACACACAGTTTGTAGAATTACTGATTGTGATTGTGAACATTATTAGAGTCAGGTGGTGGTACTGTTGAACAGTCTGAAAACAAAAAGGTGAAAGGTAAACAAAGGTAAAATGATACCATAAAAGGTGGAGCCACAAACATCTTTAAAAAGCCACATTATAACATGTATCAAACTGTGTCAGGTTACTCCTTTGCATTGATACAGTAAATTGGGATTACCCATGCCATGCAGCGTCATTGCATACATCATAGTGTGAGCTGTCTCTTGTCTGTGTTGCATCGGTATGAGCAGCAGTGTGAGCGTGTGTGACACTCAGTGGGAACAGTCGTGCTGGCTTTTCTCAGTGTATCGCCCTGCCAGCTCCTGTTCCGTTCCAGTACTCAGGAAACCTGTGCTCGAGCCGAGAAGGCCTGGCAGACACAACACAACAGCCTGCAAGCGGGAGGGGCAGTGAAACAAGAGAGGAAAGAGAGAGAGAGAGAGAGAGAGACTAGAGATAGAGAGGGAAGAAGGATACTTGCAAAGTGGGATTCTAAAACAGAGACAAGGACGCAAGGAACCAGAGTATAAGAAAGGGCTGATGCTGTTACTTTGGATAAAGGACTAAAGAGAGAGGGAGGGGGGTGGGGTTAACGGTAAGGCAAGGAGGTGAAAGCTGAGAGGGACAAGAAAGGGTGATGAAGAATGTGGAGGAAAGAGGAGAGGGTACAGAGAAAAGAAGGCAGGCAGGAGGGGAGACAACAGACAAGGGGGAGAGAGAGAGATTTAGATGAGGGGTGGGGGGGTGAAATCAGGGGATTTGCAGGTGCAGCCTGAACAACCGTTGACCTTAACAGTGCATTAAACCCAGCTGTTGCTTATCCAGACTTTTCTACAATCCCCCTAACACCTTGGACTGTGCAGCAGACTGCATGCAGCACCTTGGTTCCCACAAGGAAGAGTGAGTCTTGCAGTGAATAATAATAAAAAACGCACGAAGAGGCAGAGAGATGGAAGACGAGATAGTTGATCCCAAAGAGCAGGAATGAGAGTGACTCTGTACAGAGAGCAAAGATAAGAGGCAGAGATACAAGAGGAAAAGTGGTAATGGAGAGTTGTGTTGACTCTATCTCTCCGGCTTTGTTAATATTAGCAGAATGAAAGGTCCAGATAAGGATGTGTGCCAGTAAAGAGCTATATGGGGATCAAGATTTGGCGAGATAATAATTGTGTAATATCTCAAGTGTGTTAGGCAAGAGCTGGAGCGAAAATCAGACAGCAGGAGAGAGAGAGAGAGCGAGAGAGAGAGCGCGAGAGCGAGCAAGTGTGTACTGTCAAAAGGCTGTTTAAAATAACAATAGAGCTTGGACTGAAAAACAGGAACCCTCTGTTTCCTGAGCTGGAGACCGTAGCCGTGTGTAATGTTGCCATTAGATGTGTGTGTAGATGTGTTCTGGGTAAAGGAACGAGTGACTGAAACTCCAAGTGTCCAGGTCATACATGTTTCACTGTTGGTGGAAGAGTTGGGAAGGAACTGATACTCATCCTGAGCTGGGAGAGGTTAACCAAGTAAATCCAGCTGAAATCTTTCACGCTAAAGTCCTGGAAAGAATCAAACTGAATCAATTGTACCTGGCAGCTAAATGCCAGAGAAATCAGAAAAACTACGAGGAGTGGGTTAGGGATGAGGCAACCTCTGAAATGCCTTGATCTTATCAAAATCTGTTAAATCTCAAAATTCAGGGCAAAAAGAAAGCATCGGTTTTGAAACAGAATGGTCCATTTCTTTACTTAAAATAATGAGTAACAGATTTGGCTGATTTGAGAAATGCAATGAGAGGGTAGCTTTTTTGAAGTCCTTTTGGACGAGTCAAATTCAGGCCTTAAGTCCAGCTACACACATACCGGTATATATACATACATATATATATTTAGCAATTCTTTCCTTTATGCCATTGATTTTTTTATGGTTTTAACTTTATTATGTCTTCATCAAGCATAAATGAAATAATGACT